CGGTGGGCGCGGTGCGGTGCGGCGGGGTGCGTTGCGGGTGCCCGGTGTCCTCATCCTACTCCACGCTGCCTGTCTTGTCCCACATATCAGTGAACTGTTTTCACACTGCTGAAAGGAAGAGGAGATATCTTCAGGCATTGAATAAGAAGGAGAGGGCGGAAAGGAGAAGGAGAGAGAAAGACAGCATAAAGAGAAAAGAAGAGGAAAGAGGTCTCCGTAGTCCCTTTCCTTCCCCAAGCTGAATCTCCACCGTGAAGATGCTGAGAATAGCCGGCGTGTTGGCTGTAATGGCTCTGGGGATGAGCGCTGCTCACACCAAAGGTATGCTAGGTGAAGGGCAACTTGCTCTGTATTGTGCGCATCTGCGAGTGCGCTACAGCTTTATTGTAGGTGGACATGGCCAGAGAGCCTGTGTGGATACAGAGAATTGGCCACCTGCTACAAATAACTGATTACTAAGGCTGTGTCTGTGAGTTTGGTGTTTTTTCCCTCAAGAACGTAACGATCATTTTCCTGCAGGGTTCGTCTTTGAACTTGTGGAGACTGGGCCTACTAATTGTAACTGTATAACTCCCTGTAAGCCCCTAATGTGGACTGAGGGTCTGTCTTTTTGTCTCATCTTTTATTGCACCTCTACAGTAGTTCTATACAGAAATGGTGTGTGTGTGTGTGTGTGTGTGTGTGTGTGTGCTAGTCTCGTGGTATTGCTAGAATTTTAGGGGTTTGTAGTACTGTTCATTTTTTTTTGTTATAAAAAATCCTTCATTCATTGAAACATTTGTAATATTTTTTTAGGGGCTGGATGTGGCAGAAACATTCTGTTACATGGTTAGACGTTGTGAGTTAGTGAGTTTTTCCTGTTATGGTTTATTGTGACTGATAAAGTAACAGTAGGTAGGAGAAAAGTGTAGCAGATAATCTGAGTTTATTTGTGTTGAAACCTGAGAAGACATAACATTTGATGTCTTCCACTGCCTTTCAGCACATTTAGAATTGAAAATTGAGAGTATTATTAAAACTATTGTGTTATCATTGGCCCATAATGATTTTATTGTGGACTTGGAGAGAGCACCCACATCAAACAGGATTCACACAACAAGTCTGGACAGGGGAGTCTTGATTTGAAAGCATGATCACATCACTTACCAAACAAAGTAAAGATGGTAATATCTTTCAGAAACAAATCCTGCATCTGCTTCACCGACTGGGAAAGGGGTCTTCCTCTACAAAAAAAGACAATACTATCTTTATTTTTACACGGCTGAAGGTGTCTTCAGTTTCGCCTAAATTTTGATGAAACCATTTGAAACATGTACATTGCACATGAAGCATGGATGAGATGTATAGTATCAACAGCTGCAATTAGCTCTTTAAAATTCCAAAACATATGGCAAATAATCCCTGAAGGTGTAGATACATGATAATAACATCCAGATGTCATAAATATGTGCCATGCTGTTGGCAGTTTTGCTTCACCACGGAGCTAATTTCAGGTCTACCATTATCCCCATTGCAGCAGGATCGCTCAGTTCGCTTGTAAGTCTGGCATGTGCCATAGGTAAGCTGGTAAATGTGGCAACAAGTTTGTGATAATCAACTCCCTGCAGACAAGGACATACTTTTACACAGTGAAATAACAAGGTGACACTGGTCAGTTTTGTGTGGCAGCCAAAAGACATCATAAGCCTGATAAGTTGTTCATCCTTCTTGCCTTGTGACACAGGAAACTGCCGGTCAGCTAGCTGGCTGCGGTTACAGTCTTGTGTGTGGAGGAAAGCATATGCTAATAGACAGGCTGTGGGCTGTACAGTAAGCTGGCACAGAGGGCAAGCTTTTGTCTTAATATACATACAGTACTCTTCCATTTGAACAGAATTTACTTACCAGAAAAAGTAGACTGATTTATGTGCTGCACTTGAGTATCTGCTCGAGACATATTGTGACTTATAGTGGATGTTGTGTGTTACCTGGTACGTTTGTATATGGTAACAGCATAGTTGCTTGTAAAGAAAGATTCGTTATTTTTTTTGTATCCAGGGCCTTACTGTGAAGTAAACAAATTACTGCCAAGTCAGTGGGGGTGGAAAAACCAAGCACACCATGGTTTTAATTGATTCCCCAGGGCCACTGTACAGTGGAGTTAAAACCAGGAGAAAATAAGAGCCTATTGTCTCCAGGATCTGTGTATGTGCTATCTGTAGCTACTCTGACCCTCACTGCTTTTCCTATTTCCTGTCACAGTTGGCATGAAGCAGAACCCATACGAAACAACAAACCTAAATCGTTCCCCATTTCTTACCCCTGAATCTGTTTCTCCATTTCAGTTTTTGAAATGCAATGGAAATAGTGCATTCATGTCAAGTAAACCAAGGATCCACCTCCATAGTGCCAATATGCAAAGCTGTTTTCCAGATAACTTTGAAGTGCCGCTACTCTTGTCACTTTCTGTTTAGCCACCATTTCATTCCAGGAAAGCATGGATGTGCAACTTCCTTTAATCACCGTCACCCTCAAGTCATCCATTCAGACTCTGTGTGTGTGTGTGTGTGTGTGTGTGTGTGTGTGAGGCTAAAAGTGTCTCTCTCTACTTAGTATGTGTTTCAAAGTTGTCAGTAGTTGGGGCTTGAAGCGCTAACATCCCTCTGTGTGTAGGTGTGTGTGTGTAAGCGAGCTTGCCTGTGCACGCGTGGGGAGAGTGATAGAGTGCAGCCAACATGTTGACAGCTGCCAAGGATGCAAAATGGGCAAGAAGATGATAATGTTTACAAAGGAATTATTGCGTTCACAGATACATACTGCGGCTCAAACGATTTCCCCAGAACCAACCGTGTCGCCGCTCGACAGGGAGAATCTTCTGGCAGAGAAGCAGAAAGAGCTATAGAGTTTTTTTGCCTGTGCTGCCCGGAGCTCTGCCTTTGTGTAATTCCAAGCAATATGAACTCTGAATTTAGATAGCTCATTACCAACACAGTGTATTTTAATTCAGCTGCCCACAGTGTGCCTCTTTGTTGGTGGAACCTTTTTGGTGCTTTATTATAAACCAGATAAACACTCTGTAATTTTTTTACAGTAAACATGCAAACAGTTAGAATGTAATATTCAGCCTCTGGAAGAGGCCACCTGGCAACGTGCTTTAGGCTGTGGCTTTGGTCTAACACTTGCTTGTGAAGCTGCAGGATTAATTTACACAAGTCATAATTGATAAAAAAAAAAAAAAAAATGTTTTCTATATACTCTAGGGCCTCTGTATGCAAGTCTGGGCATGTAAGCCAGTACCTTTTTTATGTGTGTGTGCATGAGGGATAAAGAAAGTAAAGAGCATAGTCATTTGAGGAACCCATTAACAAATATATAAAAAAAAAAAAGCAGGGTGACAAAGAAACAGAAGCAAATTTATGTCCCCTCTTTGAAGAGAGGAAGTGCATTATGGGAGCACTCTATAAATCCTCCAACAAGGCTGTGACACGGGATGTGGCACAAATCCTGCCCAGCCTGCCACAGCCAGCGAAGGCAGGGCTCAGGGACATGGAGAAACATCACAGATTTTCTTTTTTTTTTTTTTTTTTTATACAAACACTTGCTTTGTCCTCCATTTTCAAAGCTCCGCTGATCTTGGTACAGCTGTGTGCCATTTGAGGAGTAGGAGGGCTTAGTGGCTGCAGTGGTTGGGGGCGAGCCATGCAGGCTGTTGATCCAGCTGCAGATCTAAAGCATCAGAGACAAAATACAGAGGCAGGGTGGATAAGTTTAAGCTATCGTCTTCAAGTAAAGAGAAAAAGTGGGTCCCTGTGATGCTGTGATTACTGATCTAGATCTGCAGCAAACCCTGGAATTCGAATATCAAACAGCACCTTGTAGCATGTTGAACTTTGGCTTTTTAGAGAACACCTGCTTTTTTTTATGGCTAATGAGAAATCGAACATTTCCACCTTAGTATTAAGTACGTGATGATGATAGACTGTGGTGAGTGGCTTTCAAACATCCACAGAAAGTCACAAATGAGAGAAAGTTTTGTCCTGAAAGCTGTTACCAGATCTTAGTATAGTATCTAGTATATCCCACACTGGCATATACACCTTTCTTCTTCTTTACACTACATACAGTATCTGACTCCTGTTGTTCCACCTCTTGTATTTTTGTCTCTTCTAGCTCTGTCTTTTTTAGATGTTGAAGGAAGAGAGAGGAGGGCGTTTAGAAGTGGAGTCGGTGTGCGCAAGCATGTAGTTCAGTTGCTGTCTGAACTGGGTGTACCACACAGTGAGTGGGCGTCTCATCTCACTTTACTTTTCATATATATATATATATAT